ATGGGGGCGTGGCTCCTACCTGTCTGTCACAATAGGGAGATATGGGTTGAGGACCCTGAAATACCCTCTGGGAACCCCAGATGCCCCCCAGACCCTTCTGTGCCTCCTAAACTGTGAACTGGGACCCCCTGGGACCACAGTCCCAGGTCTGGGGTGACATCATGGAGATACCATGGTGACATTGCCCTCCAATACTGTGTTGACACATGTTGGTGATGATCCTGAAAAACTGGGGTAAATTTGACTATGTGACTTCTGGTGACCCCATGACCTGGGAGATTCTGCAATCGCAGATAGCCTCATTAGGAACTGACAATGGGGAAAACAACCAGAAAATGGGTCTGTAGAATACAACACAATTTTACAGTCAGTGTCATTTTGTAGGAGGCAGGAAAAAATGGGATGCAGTCCCTGAGGGAGATTTTTTGCTTTAAAAACTAACTGGGATGTAAAGAAAAATGGGGCCATGCTGCAGGAATCCCAAAAGAATGCAGAGTGTGATTAAAACCAGGATGTCAACTTGTCATCCCAAGTAGGGGCACATTCAGGCTCTCATGTCCTAGCAGAGTCCCGTGAGGAATGGACACAGCTTAGAAAAGGCTCAGGAAGGAGGAGTTAGGAAAACAGAAGGGTTAGATCAAAAGAGGCAGGAATTGTGGCAGGAATTGGGCTGAACTGAAGGGGACCTCTATTTTATGTAAAATGCACAATTCCCTATTCTTGAGGAATTCCACGTGCATAGTCTGCTCCAGGGGCTTTCAAATAATGGGAGGATGAAAAGTGCTGGGCTACAACCGGGAGCAGCAACAGGTGGAATTGCTGCTCCTGCCTCAGGGATGGTGGAAGAGACTCCAGGGATGGCAGGGTGTGGTCAGCCAGGGATCTCAATTCAGCCCAGCAATGCCAAATGCTTTGGTATTTAAGCAGCCAAACCCAACAGCCTCCAGCCCTGCGCTGGAGGGCACCTGGCCCTGCCGGTGGTATGTGGTAAATCAGAGGGACACATTTCTCTTTTCCTGTCTGCTGGGATTAACTTCCTGGGACATGGCTTTCTTTTACACTCCAGTCTGGCCCTACATGTGTCTGCTGGAAGGTGGTAGAGATGAAGGGGTGAATGGCCAGGTTAATTTGGGATAATAGAGCCGTGATGTTTGGCTGTGCTGAGAGGTGCAGGTTGGTCATCATTTGTGAGTCTGAGGATTGGTTTGAGGGTTCAGGACCCCAGGGAGCCGAGCTCTTGGTGTATCTCCAGCTCTCCCAGGGATGGAGCTGATGCAGGGCTGGGTGACAGCCTTGGGCTGGGCTTACTGCAGGCACTGGCCACAGCACAGATGCAGTGGAGGACTGGGAGGATTTGGGATTTTTTGGAGTCTGCTTTGGGACTTCTTGGACATGAGGGTTGGGCTGGATGGAGTGATGAGTTTATGCTCATGTCCACACAGTTGTACAGGTCACTGGGATCTGGTTAAAACTCCAGTTACCCTTGTGTTCAGGAATGCAGGGTCTGAGGGATTGTATTTCCCTGTGGGTTTCCAGGCCACCAGGAATAAAGAGGAAATGTGGTGCCAGACTGTGTGTTTGCTCCTCTTAAAGCAGCATTGTGTTTTCACCTTGAAATTTGGGGTAGTTTTGTTTGTTTAGGGTTTTTTTTTCCCAATTGAATCAGGCCTTCCATGAACAACTCATGTTGTCCTACACAACTGCTTTGGTTATGGGTGTAGGAAGACATTCCCCCTGGAAGTGACCAAGCAACTCATTAGGACAATGCCCTATTTGCAAATCTATCGGTGGGGGGCTGAGAGGGGCCAGGCGATCTTGAAACCAGTCTGGCTTCAAGCCCAAATTAATGTCTTTTCAAAATGATGGAAATTGGTTTCATTGAAATATCCGAGGTGCCACATGCTTTCCCCAGCAAGAGCTCAGAGTCAGCCCCATGGGAAGTGGTTAGTGCCAATTTTCCTGATCCCTCAAGTGCACCAGTGCACTTGCACCCAAACATGCCCAAGGTGCCAAGTGCCGACAGGAGGCAAATACAGAGGGTGCACAGGAGGAGTTTGCACTGAACCTGTAATCCCAGACCTGGAGCTGTGTTTTATGCATCCCAGGAGATTCTGCCTCACTCAAACACTGTTTGAAGCTCAGCATCCCTCCTGCTCCCTTGGACTTGTTGCTCCCTTTGTTGCTCTTCCCCATATTATTATGATTATTGTTGTAAGTAACTCCTCCTTTTCTTCACAGAGATGGTGCTTTAGGAAAGACTCCCTGGCCTGGGGAAGGTGCTTTTGGCTCCCACCACATTCCCAATCCCCGAGACCAGCAGGACCTGTGCTGTCCCCAGCAGGTCAGGCAGAGGTGCCTTTCCTTCCTTACCTGCTACAGTTTGGCTTTTCGAGGGTTCTCTGGTGGTCTGAGAGAGAAGTTCATGGAGGAGCCCACTGTACTCATCCCACTCTGCACTGCATGTTCTTCTCAGGTAGATGTACACTGAAGCACTTTCAGTCTGGCAGAGTCCAGTGTCCACTACAGCTCCTGTAGAGTAAAACAGGCCAAGTCAAAACCAGTTACTGGATTAACCCTTCTCTTTGCAGCCTTTCAACTACACACTACACCCTGGGGCTCTGCTCTTTCCTTTTCACGTAGATGGACTCTCACCTTCTCTTGCACTATCGCGCATCTGACTTGCTAACCCTAAGGAGTCCAGCAGCTGAGCCCATGCCTGTTCTTTCCATGTGCAGTGCAATGTGGGGGGTGTACAGTTTAAAGGCTGCAAGGGGAAAGTGACTGTCACTTAATTAGGAGTGCCTAGAAATTTGCAATTAGAAGGGGTAGGTCAGCGAAAGCTTTCTCTCTTGGCACACTTCTCTTTTTTGGGCTGTATCTGGAAACTGCTCAGTTTCGATCGAGGCTGTAAGACTGAGAGTTTGGATGGTAGGAATAGGTGAGAAGTGTCTTTGGTTTCTGGGAAAGAGTAAAATCAGCTGTGAGTTTTCCTTCTTGGACATTTGGCATGGGCTCAGCTGCTGGACTCTTTATAGTTAGCAAGTGAGATCTGTGAGAGTGGAAGAGAAGGTAAGAGTCCATCTATGGGAAAAGGAAAGTACCTAGACCTATTGTCTTAGTTTAACGAGACAAAAATATTTGCTAAGAAGGGTGAGATAGGAGAAAAACCAAGCTCCTCCTTCTGAGTAACTATAACTTCGAAATTAAGAGCTCCAGTCAAAAAGGTGTGGAAAATAAGAGCTCTTTAGTAAAGAATGCACATATATATATATATAGGTAACACCACAAAACAAGCAGCAGCCCCGTAACCAAACTCCCACCCAAAACAAGGAGCTGCTTTTCGCCCCTCGGCGCAGTCACAGCCGCGCCCAGCAGGGGGCGCTGTCGGGTCCCGGAGGTGCCGGTTTTTGGGGAACGAGGGAGCGGTTCCCACTTCCAGCCGAGCCCCAAAGGGCGGATCTCAGCCGCGGCAGCTGGGCTGGGACCCCAGGGCGAGCCCCCCACAGGGACTATCTGACTGTATGGCAGAGAGGGGGCGGCTGAAGCCCTTCCCCAGGCAGCGCCAGCCCCGGGCAGTCCGCGCCGCGCCCGGGGCTCTGGAGGCGGCAGCCGGCAAGGGACGGAGGTGCCGGTCCGTCCAGGGAAAAGCGGGGAGAGCGGGGGACAAATGGGAGCTCCTTTGGTCCTCAGCAGCTCCGAGGAGGCGTCCAGGCAGTGGGTAGAGGCGAAACCGGGACCTCCCTCGGGGCTTGAAGAAGCCAAAAATGACCCGGACAAAAAAACCCCCAGTAAATCCGAAGACCCTCTCTCCACACCCAGGAGGAAAATAAAGTGCAGTCCCCTGAAAGAAAAAAAAACCTCTCCCAAAGGCATTATAAACCTAATCCAGGTGGGATTGCAGGGATTGACCCCAGGTAAAGGTTTGATCCTCCGTGTTCATTAAAGATGTTGAAATATTTCTGCTGGGATTCAGTTAGGATTCCTAAGATCAGGAATCATACTGCTTCTGGTATGTTTAAGGAGACAAGAAGGGAGAACACTCTCAGGCGAAGATAAACTCACCCACTGACCCCGAAATAAAGGGATATTTGCTTTAAAAATTAAAGGATGTTTCTATAAAAGGGAATTTTGCTGATGGAGAAGGTTTTTCAGTGAGCCTTCTCATCCCAACGCTTCTCTGGTGTGGTAAGAACTGGATTCTTATCTTTAAACCTGTGAAGATTTGTTTTATTCTGAATTATCATATTATCAGGGATAGAAACCCATATTCCATATTTTCATTCCAGGAAATGCTCACACCGGTTTGTGGATGGGGGGTCACCTCCTCTGACCAGCTGCGAGGTCTCTTTCGCTTTGGATAAGGTTTGGCTATGGATGTGGCAAGCTTCAAAATCCTGCCCTAATTATTATTGCCACACTCATTAATAACCTGTGACGACCTTTGGCAGCCTCCAGGTAGATCCAAACGGCAGGGGCCAGTGGGAAACGGGGGAGCTCCGGCGGGCGCGCCGAACCAGCAGGAGCCGGCGGCTGCAGTCCCGGGGTGGAAGGAACGGGGCCGCGGCGAAGCCGACCCGGGCAGGGCACCGGGAAGCCCGCAGGTGCTCGGGCGAGCAGAACCGGCGGGAGCTCCCGCAACCAGCCCGCAACTGGCGAGAGAGGCGAACGGCGTAAATGGCTGCGCTTTTATTCCTCCAGTTCTCACGCGGTTCCCGCAGGAGCTCGGTTCCAGGGGTCCCCCCTGCACCGCCCCGTCCACTCGGGACCGGCACCCCCGGGCACGGCGCGGCGCATCCCCGTCCCCAGGCAGTTCCTTGGGTTTGGGGAGAGGGCTGCTGAGCCCCGCCTTGCGCCTCTGTCAGCGAGAACCCCCTCATGGTGGCATGGAAAAAATACAAGAGAATTTAAACTGTAACAGCTGGTGTTGGTGACTGTGACAGACCTGAATAATTAGAGGTTAATGGGGAATTTATTCAGTGCACCAGAAGTGAGAGAGAAAATCAGCTTGATCAGACCCCATAGGGGTGGTTTATTGGAAGTGCTAATAAGGAGTAACAGGAATTGCCACAGCCCCCATCTCTCGCCTTGGTCCCGCCTGCCCGCACTGCTGCCCCTGGGAAGCGCTGCTCTTCCCAGCTGGAAAACCTAGAAACATTTCTTTTCTTACTTCCTAAAACTCCTCTCTGGAAACTTCTACTCTCCCATAATTCTCCTCAAACAGCGTCGTTTCTCCTTCCGTCTCTCCAGAAGTGGCATTGCTGCTCCTTGGCGTTTCCACAATTAATATAATTGATGCTGAGCCTCTCTGGGATGGTGAGAGGGTCCAGAGTGGGGTCAGGCCAGGGCTGGACTGAGATCAGGCCAGGGCTGGCCGTAGCAACACTGCCGCGCGCTGCAGCTGCTCATAGGACACGAACATGACCACATTCCAGGAGCCCAACCGCAGGAAGGATGGGATGAAGCTGTGCCGGGAAAAGCAACACTGGAGAGGATGTACCAGGGACAATCCCCTCCCCAAAGCCCCGCTCGTGGGTTGGGATATCTGGAGTTCAGTGCCGCGTGGCCACACGGCCGTCGTGGCGAGTTTGTGGGTGTTCAGTGGGGTGTTCTCAACTCACCCCTTGTAGAGGCCGGCGAGGCCATCCTGCTTGAGCAGAGCCAGGAGGCAGCTCAGGGCATTCTCGTAGTGCCCAGGGCTGGCGTTCATGTACCGTGTCTTCACCACATCTACTGGTGATGCCACCACTGTGGCACAGAACCCAGCGCCAAAGGCAGCCACGAAGTGGCATGGAACGTTGTCTAAAGGCAGGGAGGAGACAGGGTTGGATGTTGTGGGGACAGGGAAGGCCCCGCCCATGTCCCCCCTCATGGGGTGTTGTCTAAAGGCAGGGAAGAGCCAAGGGTTGGATGTTGTTGGGACAGGGATGGCGCCTGGCTGCATCCCCCCTCATGTCATTGAGGATGTTGTGAGGACAAGGATAGCGTCTGGCCGCATTCCCCTGTCACGGGACGTTGTCTAAACATGGGGAAGAGCCAAGGGTCGGATGTTGTTGGGACAGAGAGGGCCCTGGCCACGTCATCCCTCACAGGATGTTGTCTAAAGGCAGGGAAGAGCTGGGGTTGGATGTTGTGGGGACAGGGAAGGCCCCCCCCATTCCATTCTCACCTGCCATGAGCCCTGTCCGCAGCAGCACATCCTTGAGGAGGTCGTAGGTGACGAGCTCCCCGCAGTTGATGATGGCATTGCGGGCAATGTTGGGCAGCGTTCCTGGGTAGCAGAGGGGGGGCATTGGGAATGGGGATCACAGCTCCTCCTGGAGCACCCTGGGCAGGTACCCCAGCCCTGCTGTCCCCTTCCTCGTCCCCATTTCCATTTCCATTCCCATCCAATCCCTTCCCATCCCTTTCCCCCGTACCTCTCCAGAGCCCGCGGACCCCTTCCTCCCTGGCAATGGTGCGATAGGCATCCACAGTGCCACTGTACTGGCGGGCCCTGTCCAGTAGTGCCCCGTTGGCTTGGAACCGGACCTTGACCACATCGGTGGGCTGGGCACAGGCCACAGCCACGGCTCCCGTGGTGCAGCCTGCCAGGAGCCGCGCAGCCAGGCCTGTGTCTGGAGAGGGCAGGTGCTGGGATCCCCGGCCCTGTGAGAACCCCCAACCCCATGGGGACCCCAGGGCAAGGGGGACCCTGGGCTGTGTGGGAACCCTGGACCTGCAGGGATCCTCAGCCCTGTGGGCACCCTGGGCTATGGGGGGACCCTGGGGCAAGTGGGGACCCCAGCACTTCACCAAGGATCATCTTGGGGGTTTGTGCCCCTCCAAGTTGATTGCTCACCCCAGGGTGGGCTGTGCCCCTCCAGGGTAGGGTTGTGCATTGGGATGGGGGGGTGCAGGGATGTCCGGACCACCTGAACACTCACTCTCGGCACCCTTGGGGGTGTAGAGCTGCTTCACAGAGTCATAGAGCCCAATGCGGATCGAGGCGAAGCTCATCTGGCGCTGCAGCCCAGCTGCCAACCCTCTGTACAGGCTGCGGGGTCCCTCCGTCTTCACCATGGTGCTCAGCGTCCCCAAAACACCCCGGTACTCCACGGAGCTGGTGGCCTGGGGGATCCTCACCTCGCCCTGGATCTGCAGGGTGCCAACTGTGTCACCGCGCCTTCTGTTCCCCTCCAAACGCCACCAGCTCTGGGGCGGAGCTGGCATGGGGAGTCCCACTGTAGCAGGGTGTTCCCTCTGCCCGTGGGATTTTGGGGGGCCCGGCGGGTCATACCTGCAGGCGCACTTTGGCGGTGTCCAGGGGGAAGGTGCAGAGGTCAGCGATGCATCCGGCCATCCCCGCGCTGATGAACTTCACGGCGGTGCTTGGGGGCACCTCGGGGGGCTTCAGACCCACCATGGTGGCAGAGGGGCTGGAGGGAGGGGAGGGGTTTGTGGAGGATCCGGGATGCTGCGACAGATGGGGCTTCACGCAGGTCTGGTGATGGAGGTGATGATGTGCCGGGGTGGTTTCTGCTGGCTTGGGACAACCCCAAACCCCATATCCGGCCCTGTTTCCTCGCTTGCATCCCCGGGGAAGTTGAGGCACGGGGCTTCCTTGCTCAGCATGGGATTCACCCATTCCCACCCTCCCCTATCCCGCCCCAGCCATAATGGAAGTTTCTCAGTGAGAGCTTCTCCCGTGTTCCCCCCATGGCCTCACCGTAGGGACCTCGGCACCGCTTCTTGGCTCCTGCCTTGCTCAGGCAGCACCCTGAGAGCCGACTCCTTGGCCCCACCCTTATATAGCACTCAGGATGACATTCCAGCAGCCACGGATTGGATCGGGTGACAGGGAAACAGTTCCCCCTGTGGCATTTGAGCTGATGGGAGTGGGGTCACCTGGTACCCATGACAGGGTTGTTGTTTCAACCCTCTGCCCACACCAAGGGCTTAGGCATGGGAAGCAGGGATCCTGCCCAAATCCCCAGTGCCCATTGGAGCAATGCTGTGGGGAAGCACCCAGCAATGTCCAGGTGGCCACTGGGACTGCAGGGACTGGGGAGGAATGTCAGGTTTTAACCTAAAAGTGCTCTAGGAAGAATGAGATGTAGCAAACACTTGCCCAAAAAAACCACCACCCTCACAACACCCTTCAGAGCGTGGCTGGGCACTGGGGCTGAGGCTTCCGGGGAGGACAAGGCTCCAGACAAGAGGCTGGAGGCCAAGGCGGAGTGCAGAAATGCCCCTTTAACTCCAGTTTTAAAAACTTCAAGAGTTTAACCCTTGGTGTTCCTCAGCACCACGCTCACAAAGCCCGAAGGGATGGGCCACATCCCTCTGGATGTGCCAGGAACCTCCATGCTCACACCTGAGCTTGCCTCGCATAAGAGGGACTTTGAGTGGTCCTGATCCCCTGAAACCACCTTTGCTCCATCCCATGGGCTCCAGGAAAAAGCTGCCTGGCACTGACACCCTTTTCCAGTTGGCTCCTGCCTTATTTTCCTGCCCGTCTGCGCTGCTGACCTAAACCCAAGAGGAAGGTGCTGTTTATCTCATGCCCGAGGGGTCAACACTTGTCACCTCCTCTGCGACAGTGTTCCCAGCCCAGCTGGCATCCTGCCTGGGTTTTTTTGGGAATGCAACTGGGAGAAAGCAGCCTGCACATCACTCCTGTCCCTGCAGGGGACACTGAGCATGTTTACCTCCCATCCCGACCCGGCAAGAGCAGGAGGGAAAGGGGCCGGGATCACAGGCAAGTTGTGCCAGCAGTGAATTACACATTTAGGCTGTCCCCTGGGAAAAACAACACTACAGAGGGAGGAGGAAATGGGGCTGCTGACCCTTTGGCTCCTTTAAATCCTGAATTCCATGTATGATTTGAAAAGCAGCTTGAATTGGGAGCAACTTGTCCCATGCAGCTGTGCTGCACAGTGATACTGAGTTCCTTGGCAAAGCAGTGACCTTTCCATGTGTTCCCAGCGAGCCCAGCTTCCAGCAGCATTTCTCCACCCTGGAAGCTTGTGGAAGAAGGAGTCCTATTCCCTTTTGAGGGGGACACTTTGCACTAGCTGACAAGAAACCAAGGGAATTTTATTGAAACACAAACACTAGAAAGAGAGCAGTACAAAAATAACAGCTCTGTTGGCATCAAAGTCTGTTCTCCAAAAGGTGCAGGACATAAAAATATACAAAAATAATTTAGGATAAAAAAATTTCATCTTTCTAGTCCCCCCCCTTTTGTACACCCAGCAGTGTTTTACAGTGCCCTTGGCCTGTGTTCACACAAGCACTTTGGGCATCTCTAGAAACTGCAAATTGTGCTGCCCACCAGCTATTTTTGAAAGGGTGATTTCACAGGAATACATCCCCAAATTAGACTACGTGGAGAGCTCATGGGTCACCCACAGGGGTGCATCTCTTCGGGGACCTGCCCCTGCAAGACACACGGTCTTGCAGCTCCCTGTGGGTGATCAAAGGTTTTAAGCCCCTCTAATTAGGGGATGCCAATTAACCAATCAATTGGGCAAACTAAAAGCAGAGCCTGAAAGCTGTGGCTTTCACCTCCCCTCTACTGGAGGACCCAGAGGTTGGGATCGGGAAGCTCCGCTGTGGATGGTCTCTCATGAATGCTATTCCTTCTTGGAGAGCTGAGCTGAGAAGATCCTGGCAATTCTTTGGGCTTCTTCTTCTGAGAGGTTGGGTGTGGGCTTGGGATGATTTGGCCTTCGGTATGGGATCCCCCCTGGCACTGCTCCGCTCCTTCTCTCCTGTGGAGAGAAGGGATCAGGTGTGAGAACTCTGCCAGCATCTGGATTTGGGTTGTGGCAAACCACGGGGAAACCAGTTGGATACACAGGAAAAACCACCACAATGAGAAAGGTCCCAACCCTTAACTCTGACTTTGTGAAAGTCCATCCTAAGCCAAAGCCTCCCTCTGTGAAGCCAAAGGAATGACACTGGCATAGCCACTGGGATCTGACTCTCTGGGTTTTGGCTTCCAATTATTATTTCATTTCTTTAATTTGCAGAACCCTAAAGACAAAACCCCCTTGCAGTGGAGAAGCAATGCTCTGGCACAACAAATCCAAGCTGGCTGACAGGACAAGGCAGGGAATGGGTTTAAACTAAAAGAGGAGAGATTTAGATATTGGAGAGTGATTCTTCCCTGTGAGGGTGGTGAGGCCCTGGCACAGGTTGCCCAGAGAAGCTGTGGCTGCCCCATCCCTGGAAGTGTCCAAGGCCAGGTTGGACAGGGCTTGGAGCAACCTGTTCTAACGGAAGGTGTATCTGCCCATGGCAGAGGGGTGGAATGAGATGAGCTTTGAGGTCCTTTCCAACCCAAACATATGATTCCAGGACAAATGGGATGGGCCAGTTTAATGGACTGATTAAACAATGGAGTCTGCTTCTCCACCATTTTAAGCATGGAGCTAAAAAGCCTTGATGTCACAGCTGGGCTGCTGCAGGAGCCGAGCTACTTGCCAAAGCTCCAGGAGGCAAGCCAGCAGAGGCAGGTAGATGAGCAAAAAAAGATAAAAACTTGTTACAATCAAGAACACGGCCAGGAGTTACTCTCCCAAATAAAGTATGCCAGGCAGATCTTGCTTGGAGACTGGGGAACCAGCCAATAGACACTCAGGGCCCACCTTGGTACCAGCTGACCTTTGCTGGGATACTGGTGAACTGGCCAGTGGGCATCCAGGGGCTACCATGGTGAGCGTATTTAGGGCCATGCCCGGGGCCTGCTGGGGGGCTGTTTGAGGACTGCTAGGGGAGCTGCTGCCACTCTGTTACTCTGCCAGTTCAGCTCCTTCCTAGGAGGCTACAAGGCAACTAGGGAAGAAGCCCAGCAGAGATCTACCAGCTTGCAAGCCAGTGGCACTTAACTCCTGTCCCCTGTGCTTTTAACAGTTACCCTTAGCTTTTTTCCTACTTTTCTGTTTTCCTTCTTTCTCTCTGCTCTTTTGTGTTACAAAATAAAGTTGAATTATCGTTTTGGGATCCAGCATCTGGCCTTGTTTGTGCCTTAATCTCGCTTACAGGAATGGTTTAGAACCTGGTTCCACTCTGCATCTAAGTGGATCAGAACAGCCAGGCACAGCTGAAGGGACCCCAAAGGAGCATCCCCCAAGAGGAAAACCCCTGGATTAAGCAGTGTCACCTCCTCTGTGGTTTGTTGGCAGCCTTCCAGAAGCCTGGCTTTGTCCTGGATGTTCCTGCAGCACTAAAGACAGGTAATTTCAGCTACAAAGAAACTCATGTTTCTCCCCAGCGAGAGCCACCTCATGCATATGAAGCACTGAGAAAGCCATGATCTGGCTCTGGGAGCCTTTAGAGGATGAAGCTGTGGGGCCAGGAAAGGCTCCTGTGAAGCCGATCCACCAGTCTGGCCTTTCACCTACATCACTGCTTCTCTGAGTCCCAGGAAAGGTCTTTTGAGGTGACCAGCTCCCTCCCAAGAAGGAGGGACTAGGATTCTGTTTCAGTGAGCTCCTCTCTGATGTTTAGAGGCAAATGGCTTTTTTAGGAACAAGCAAGTCCTTGTGTTTGGTTAACTGTACATTACAGGCTCAAGTGACAGTGTGCAGATAAATATACTTTAAAACACTTCCCATTTTATCACACTGAAATAACATACATGGATAATTAGGAGAATCTTTGCTTTGTTCTTGTTTCTTCGTAACAGTTCTCCAGGATGATTTTCCTAAAACAAAATGTCAGGAGCCAAGAGAGGTTAAATGCAGACCTGGCAACAGTGGAAGCTTAAAAACCAGCAGAGAGAGCTGCTCTCTGCAGAAAGCACCTCTCTTGGATAGCACAGGACTGTCCAGAGAAGACCAAGTCAGTAGCTCATTCTTCCCACGCTGTTTTCTGCCCATGTGTCCACAAACAGCCAAAACATCAGGAGCAGCTGGAGAGGGGCAGTAACCAGACTCAGTGCTGATCCTGGAGTTCATCACTATGCAGCTCTCTAGAAAATTCCCCAGATCTGCTAATTAACCCTGTTTCAGAGGTGCATGAAACTGCACTTCCCACCTCTCACAGTTCCCCTCTTCCATGTGCCACACATGTTGTTGTGCTCAGCCAGGGATGGAGAGCCAGCACCTCTCGTTTTGAAAGTGAGGAATAGAATCCCAGACTTATTTGAATTGGAAGGGACCTTAAAGATCACCTTGTTCCAACCCCCTGCCACGGGCAGGGACACCTTCCATTAGACCAGGTTGCTCCAACCTGGCCTTGAACACTTCCAGGAACGGAAACCACGATACAGGAGCAGGTGTTTGATGCTATTTGACCTCACCGAGGTGAAGGAGAGCAGTTTGTTTGCTCCCTAAGTCAGTAAACAAGGTGTGCTCAAAAAACATGTCACTAACACGTTGTTTCAGATAGAAGTGGCTAAAATAGACCTCCTCTCATTTTCACACCTCCGTTCCAATGTGCAGGATGCAGAGGTGTTAGGATGTGTGTATCTATCCCAAGGATGTTCCTAAAAATGAACTTCCAGCTGCAGGAAAGGTTTAGCAGCTCTCCTTGCTGCTTTTCTACATGTACAGGCATGAATCAAAGTGAGAGAGGTTTAAAAGCACTGTTAACACTCCCAGCTCGCACAGATAACCAGAGTCATGGATCATGCAATTGCTGAGGTTGGAAAAGATGCAAAAGATCATCGAGTCCAGCCATTCCCCAGCATTGCCAAAGCCACCACTAACCCATGTCCCCAAGTGCCACATCCACATGGGACTCCAGCCTGT